CACAGTTTGACCTTTGACTTAGGGTTGTATATGTTGGCATCCTTCTGGGGGCTTGTGTCCCTTCACCCCGATTCTTCCCTTGGGGTGGGCTGTCTGCATGCGCAATGGCCTGCTAGTGCTGGAGAGAGGCTGCCTGCAGTGTGCTTACTGGTGTACGCATGCTCCCTTAAGCCATTCTTCCCTTACCAGTGAGTGTTCCTGCAAGGTTATAAACCAGTTAAACTCGCCGTTTTCCCTCTTAGTGCCTATGCATGAGTCCACTTGCCCAATTTCTGAGATCTGATTAGTTTCAACTTTTTCTGTTTCTTGGGAGACTAGTTTTCCCTGGCATGGGCTGAGACCAATTATTATTTTAGAGAGACAGCTTAACAACTGCGTGTCACCTGATGGTTGCCTGACATTCATGGTGGAGGGGGGGCCCTTTCCTGCCCTGCTCGTGTCTATCTACTATAACACGGTTTTTAAAGGCAGGGGTAAGGCAGCGTGCAGTAGCTCACACTTGTAATCCTAGCATTTTAGGAGGCTGAGGCAGGAGGATCATTTGAGCCCAGGAGTTCAAGAACAGCCTGGGCAACAAAATGGGACCCCAACTCTACAAGAAATAAGAAAATTAGCCAAATATGGTGGCACACACCTCTACTCCCAGCCACTCAGAAGGCTGAGTGGTAGGATCCCTTGAGCCCAGGAGGCTGAGGCTGCAGTGAACCATGATTGTGCCACCGCACTCCAGTCTGGACAACACAGCAAGACCATGTCTCAAAAACCAAACCAAACCAAAACCAAAAAAGTCAAGGGTAAATTTCAGAAAAGCAGAAGCTACAAGGAACATTGTAAATCAATGCATACAGGTTCCACATTGGCTTTGATCTAAAAGGGTGGGAATCCTGAATCAGGGGCTTACAGGTTATAGATAGATTCAAAGATTTTCCTGGCCAGGTGTGGTGGGTCATGCCTGAAATCCCAGCACTTTGGGAGACCAAGGTGAGAGGAAGCCTTAAGATCAAGTGTTTGCGAAACATAACAAAGAGCCTGGGAAACAACAAGAGCCTGTATCTACATAATTTTTTTTTTTTAACTAGAGGTTAAGGCAGCCTCTAATTAGAGGATTGCTTGAACCCAGGAGGTTAAGCTGCAGTGAGCTGTGATTGCAACTGCCTTCTGGCCTAGGTAACTGAGCAAAAGCCTGTCTCAAAAAAAAAAAAAAAAAAAAAAAAAAAAAAAAAAGAATCTGATTTGCAATTGATTAAGGAAGAGAAGCTTTCTTTAAAAATTTGGGGTCCAATAGAAAAATATTAACTGGCTAGGGGTGTGACTTTCTCCAAACCCCTAAGGAAGAAATTTAGAACAAAGAATGATGGTTAAAGTTCAGTTGTCACTTTGCTGTCCTGTGAGGTCTATGCTAGCAGATCCATTTGGTGGGATGTCCTGAGTTTCTGAGAGACAACTCAGAGACATATGTTAAGACTGTTATCCTTAGTTTCTATGAGGAAAGCAAACCTACCCGGAACCCTTATTGCCTTGGTTGGCTGTTGTCTTAGGCTGCTATTACCTTCTTGCTTATCAAGTTGCTTATTTATTTCTCAGAGCTAGCCAGGTACCCAGCCTTTTCCTTGAAGAAACTCAAGATTTTGCTTAATTTCCATGCTTGGGGGTCCACAGGCCCCTGAAAAGAGAGTCTTTGCATCATCTCATTTCCACACAGTAAGGCAGCAAAAATTTCTTTTCTTTTTTTTCTTTTTATTTTTTTGAGATGGAGTTTCGCTCTTGTCTCCCAGGCTGGAGTGCAATGGCGTGATCTTGGCTCACTGCAACCACTGCCTCTTGGGTTCAAGCCAGTCTCCTGCCTCAGCCTCCTGAGGAACTGAGGTTACAGGTGCCTGCCACCATGCCCAGCTAATTTTTGCATTTTTAGTAGAGATGGGGTTTCATCATGTTGGCCAGGCTGGTCTCGAACTGCTGACCTCAGGTGATCCACCCACCTCAGCCTCCCAAAGCGCTAGTATTACAGGCATGAGCCACCGTGCCCGGCCAGCAGCAAATATTTCTTATTAATTTTGTTTACTCTTCTGTGGTTCAAATCTCTAAGAAGATTTCTGTGATCACCACTGCTCCAAGCACTCAAACACCTTATTCTTTTATTCTGTATTCCTGTGCACTCTTATTTGCTCTAATTCAGTTGTGTAACTGTCATGTATGCTGGAACTATGTCTCTGACCATCCCTATCTTCCTTGGACATTGTGAGGATTGTGATTGGGCAGCTTATATTGGATTTTCTCCCAGAGTATCCAAGAGATGATTGTCACGTAAAAATTGAATGAATTTGGGGTAAGCGATACTAGTCCTAAGACCTATGTTAAACTATTTAATCAACAAAGCAGATGCTTTTAGATGCTTTATTTAATTTTCTGTTGCAGTTCCCCTAGAGTCTGTCTAGAAATGATTTTATTGTGCACAAACATTGTAGCCTCTGGCTGTAGGGAGCTGATAAATAGGAGAAAAGCGTAGGCATTTCTAGGTGCCAGTAAGAGAAAGAGGACAGAGGGGGTCATGAGGAAAAGGCCGTACCACAGTGATTCGAAAAGTGGAGTTAAGGTTAGCATTACCTATATGGCTTAGATCAGGATTATTATTGTTATTATTATTATTTTCAGATAGAGTCTCACTCTGTCAACCAGGCTGGAGTGTCGTGGGGTGACCTCAGCTCACTGCAACCTCTGTCTCCTGGGTTCAAGTGATTCTCCTGCCCCAGCCTCCTGACTAGCTGGAATTACAGGCATGCACCACTATGCCTGGCTAATCTCTTTTTGTTTTTAGTAGAGACTGGATTTTACCCTGTTGGTCAGGCTGGTTTCGAACTCCCAACCTCAGGATCTGCCTGCCTTGGCCTCCCACAGTGCTGGGATTACAGGCATGAGCCACTGTGCCTGGATGATTCAGATTATTAAATGTAAAATAGGGGCTCTACATTAAGATTAGGATATGCTCTAATAATGAGGTCAAGGAGACAATAAGATTAGCACAAGGATGGCTAGGATAAAGATTAGGATTATAATAGAATTCATGTTGCTGTTCTGTGCTGATGCTAGGGTAAATGTTGAATCAAAATCATTTTACATTGGAACTAGAATTAAGACTAAGATTTTTCTTCTTATTATTTTATCAGCATGTACTCAAAGGGAATTTGTTATTGCTGCCCTTGCCAGGGAAAAGCTGGGGGACAGTGTCTGTGGGATTGGAACCCCAGAACCTTTTATATATTCTTTTTGGAGAGTAAGATTCATTCATTTATTCATTTATACATTTATAAAACTGGTTGCCAATTTATGCAAAATTCTGGTCCTTGCCTTCTGGGAGCTTGAAATCTAGTAGGTGAACTAATCCAGAAACACACATAGAATGAACGGCAACAAAAGTTTTTCTAAAAATTTTATTGTTCTATTGTTTCTTATTTTCATGAAATGCTTGGAAGTATTTTAAAAACTCATGTTTTAAGGAAGCAAAACCCCTTCAACTGGGGGATCAAGTTAGATGTAGCTCTAGATTGAAAAGATTTCCTCAAAGTTTGTTGAGAAGTTGAAGCTTCTCACCTGGGCTCAGGGGGCGTTATTTGTACCACAAGGCAGGGCTTAGAGCATGGAGTCTGGAGCTAGTTTTCCTGGGTTAAAATCCTGGATTGCACAATTTCAAGCTACAACATAAATTCTGTGTTTTAGTTTTTGCCTCAGAAAAGATAATATTATCTGCTTCATAGTGTTGTTACAAGGATTAAATGAGTCAATTTGCATAAATTGCAGGTGGTTCCTGACTTTGACCATTTTTTGACTTTATGATGATGCAAAAGAGATGCATTCAGTAGAAATTGTACTTTGAGTACCAATATAACCATTCGGTTTTTCACTTTCAGTGCAGTATTCAATAAATTACATGAGATATTCAAAACTTCATTATAAAATAGACTTTGTGTTGAGGATTTTGCTGAACTGTAGGCTCATGTTAATGTTCTGAGCATGTTTAAGATAAGCTAGGCTAAGCTCTGATGTTTGGTAGGTTAGGTGTATAAAATGCATATTCAACTTACAATATTTTCAATATATGATAGGTTTATCGAGAGGCAACCTCACCATAAGTCAAGGAGCATCTATACTTTAAATGTTACTTGGGTTATTACAACAATTACATAAATGCTTTATAGTTTTGTAGTAATATCCATCTTTTTGAGCAAAGTACAGTTTGGATGACCCTGAAGTCTGAGATGTCACATGCAATATCACATTTGGCCAGTAGAGGACACTAAAGTCCACAATGTCGAAATTGCGCCAGCCTAAACATAAAGATATTTTTGTGTCTTTGTGGCTCCTCCTTTATCTGTAATTTGTGGGCATTGTAAGAGAAGAAATGAGACTGAAGAGGCCAAGCTTTCTTTGTAAGCCTTAAGCCTAAAATACTGGGACATTTGATTACAGTGTGAAAGCAACGGTGTGTTTTTGAGAGTTGCCTTACTGAAAATCATGAGGCCTAGATTTTAGTTCTGATGCTGTGGCTGTGTGTTCCTGGGTGAGTTTCTGAACTTATCTGGGCTTCAGCTTCTCCTTTGCTGTTATTTGGGGAATGAACTAGAATGAGAATGCAAAACAGGCATATAACCAAGTGGGAAAAACATGAGGAAGAAGCAAAGAAGACATTTATACATTTATACATTTATAAAACTGGTAGGAATGAGAATTGGAGGTGAAGGAATAGTGGGGATATGGAAAGGGAGGGGAATTAGAAATGGAAATGATAAAGGTAGGAACATGAATATAGATGCAAAGATTTAAAATAGAAGAAAATATTCCTGATTTCTACAAATTTTCACATAAGGATACTTCCTTTTACTACATTTCAAACCCTATCTCTTGCATGTGCACACACACACACACACACACACACACACAACCACATACATGCACAGACATGTGACTTTTATCCGTTGTCACAATGTGATGGGTGTGAGGAAGGCAGAGGAGCAGGGAACTCAAACTTTCTGATAAAAGCACACAGAATCTCTTCTCTTTTAAAGCATATTAAGCAGCTCTCCCTCGGCTTTGTGTGAGCTCTATTTCCTTCCCTAGCAATCTCCTCAATGCCCTGGTGACCTCCTTGTTCCTCAGGGTGTATATGAGAGGGTTAAGTGAAGGAGTGCCCACTGCATAGAAGAGAACAAAGAACTTGCCCTTCTCTTGGGCATAGGGATTTTTGGGCTGGAAGTAGACAGCAATGACTGAGCTGTAGAAGAGGGTGACCACAGTGAGGTGGGAAGAGCAAGTCCCGAAAGCTTTCCTCCGCCCTTTTGCAGAGTTAATCCTCAGCACTGCCCGAGCAATGGCTCCATAAGAGACAAGGATGAGGCTGAGAGGCACAACTAAGATGAAGACACTGGCAACAGCCATTTGGATCTCGTTGTAGGAGGTGTCTCCACAGGAGAGTCGAATTAGAGCTGGGACCTCGCAGACAAAATCATCCACCTGCCGATGGGGGCAGAAGGGCAGGCGCAGGGTGGATGGTGTCTGGACCAGTGACTCCACTAGCCCAATGACCCACGCCACAGATGCCAGCTGCCAGCACAGGCGGGGGTGGATGATGGTGGCATAGTGGAGGGGCTGGAAGACAGCCACGTAGCGATCAAAGGCCATCACTGTAAGGAGGATGCACTCAGTGGTCCCCAGGGACAGGAAGATGAAGAGCTGGACAGAGCAGCCCAGGAAGCTGATGGTCTTCTTTGGGCCCCAGAGGTTGACCAGCATCTGGGGAACACAACTCGTGGTGAAGCAGAGATCCAAGAAGGAGAGGTTGGAGAGGAAGAAGTACATTGGAGAGTGGAGCCTGGGGTCCAGCACAGACAGCAGGATGATGAGTGTGTTGCCCACCGGGGTCAAAAGGTAGAAAGTCAAGACAACCACAAAGAGAATCCTTTCCAGGGCTGGGTGTTCATAGAAGCCCAGAAGGATGAAGCCCACGGGAGAGCTTTGGTTAATCATGGCCTATTTCTGTTTTTACCTGAAGAGATGAGTCTGTCACCCCAGTGTGATTCAAACTGTCTTATTACTCAGCCTGGGTGTTTGTGAGGTTACAGCGGATGTGAGTTTCTCTGCTGTCTCTGTTCTCCCAGCCTCCCTTTTCCAGGGTGATCACCATCCAGCAGCTCCTTCTCATTCTCTGTTCTTCCGGGTTAAACATTGTCCAGTGAGAGTGAGGAAACCATGAATGTACTGGACAGCAGATAGAGCCTCACACTGGTGCCTCTGACTTCCTGGGGGAGGGCAAAGGAGGCAGATTTAAAATACAGATTAATTAATTAATTAATTCAGCAGAAAATTACTGAGTGCCATTATGTTCTGAGTGCTGTTTTAGAGTTGTCTCTTGCTTATTTATTGGATGATCTCATAGTGTATATTGAATAAATTTTCTGATGATAAATTGTCTCTGTAGGCTCAATTACTGCTCTGTTGGTTGAATGAATTTTATAGAACTCTACGTTTGATTTATTTTGTATTTTTTCATTTCCAGGTGAGCTTATCAGAGACTGTTTTATCTACGAGAGAGATTTTGTTTTGTTCTAAGATACCCTGAGATCAGGCGGGTTGGTCTGGTTTTCTTTAGCAACCCAAGTTGCCAAACCAGCTGACCTGCAGAGAGGGGTGGAGACTGGTCCACGTGCTTTGTCTTTGCCATGAGTAGCTTACAGGTAGGAGGTGAGAGTGGCCCCAAGCATGTTAAAATCACCAGGAGTTCACAGGAAGATTATTGAAAGACTCCAAGAGTCACTCTCCTTAAATCCTATAGTCTTTCAGACACCACCAAAAACAAGAATTCAAAATTTAAAGACCAGTAACACCAACATTGTGGGTGAATAAGAGAGTAAAGTGTCTGTAGGATGACTGACCAATTTTGGTCGGATATATCAGGGAAAGCTTCCTAGAGCAGGTGACTGGATTTTTTCCTTAAAATAGGGACGTATTGGGGCATAGAAGGTCAGCTGAGAGCTGGGGGTGGGAGACTGAAGCCACTCTGCAGGTCAGAGACAAGGACGCAGGGCCTTACAGGACCTTAGGAAGGCCGTGACAGGAGCAGATGAGACGGTGGGCTGCCCGGCAAACGTGCCATGGAGCTCATAGGATGGCAGGAGTGTCTTCCTTTTACAGGGTCCCCATTAAGTTCTATCACATCTCCCTTTTTGCCAGGACTCTCTGCCATTGTCTCTGACTTTCTTTTTCTCCCATTATTCTTTTTTTTTTTTTTTTTTTTTTTTTTTTTGAGATGGTGTTTCGCTCTTGTTACCCAGGCTGGAGTGCAATGGCGGGATCTCGGCTCACCGCAACCTCCGCCTCCTGGGTTCAGGCAATTCTCCTGCCTCAGCCTCCTGAGTGGCTGGGATTACAGGCACAGTGCCACCATGCCCAGCTAATTTTTTGTATTTTTAGTAGAGACGGGGTTTCACCATGTTGACCAGGATGGTCTCGATCTCTTGACCTCGTGATCCACCCACCTCGGCCTCCCAAAGTGCTGGGATTACAGACTTGAGCCACCACGCCCGGCCCTCTCTCCCATTATTCTTTTCCTCCTTAAAATATATCTTTGGGAAACCGAGAGGGGTCAGGCACCCAGTCGCTCCGAAGCGGGGAAGTGGGACAAGATGGTTTACATCTCAAATGGACAGGTGTTGGACAGCTGGAATCAGTCTCCATGGAGATTATTTTTGATAACAGATTTCTTCTGGGGAATAACTGAGTTTGTGGTTTTATTTTTCAAAACCCTGCTTCAGCAAGATGTGAAAAAAAGAAGCAGTTATGGAAACTCATCGGATTCCAGATATGATGATGGAAGAGGGCCACCAGGAAACCCTCCCCGAAGAATGGGTAGAATCAATCATCTGCGTGGCCCCAGTCCTCCTCCAATGGCTGGTGGATGAGGAAGGTAAATGTCTGCTCTAAGAAGCAGACAACTGGACATGTGCATTCACAGCAGAAGGAAACCATCAAGAAGTGGAAGGCTGATCATGCTGAGCAGTAGATGAATGTGTATGTCTAAACAAGGACTGTTCTGTGTCCTCACAGGTGAATGAGGTCATGCCAGGAAATTCCCTCTGCAGGGAACTGGCCTGACTGACATGCAGTTCCATAAATATACATGTTTGTCTCATTACCTTTTTGTATAGTTTATTAAAGTATTAATATAGTTTTAATAAGTAAATTTTTAGGTTGCACAATGGACTCCTCATCTTTATATTAAATTCATGAAAAAAACTGAAGAAAATAAAGCCTGTGCATTTAGCAATATATATATATATATATATATATATACATATATATATATATGTATGTTATATATCTTTAAAATGTTGTTAAATATTTAAGCATAAGTATGGGTAGGGCAAATTGCAGTTAAAAGAATAAAAATGTCAACCTCTGGTATGCCCATCAACCAGGTTAAGAAACTGAGCAAACGTTTCAAGTATCTTAGAAGCTCCTGTGTGCCCCTCCATGACCTCTCACTTTTTTACCCCTTAAGATATCACCACTGTTCTAAGTTTTTAACTAATTATTCCTTTGCTTTCATTTTTTGAGATGTACTTCACATACCACAAAATTCACCCTTTCGAAGTGTGTAATTTAGTGGTTTAAAGTATATTCACAAGTTGTGCAACCAACACCATTTACTTACAGAACATTTCATCACCCCATAACCTCAGGCTCATTAGCTGCCACTGCCTCCTTTGTTTTCTTTGTACTATAAAATTATTTGCATGTACCCTTAAACAATAGCCAACTGTTAATTATTCAACCATCACATAGCATCCCAATTGATTTTCTGCATTTCTAACTTTGTCATTCTCTTGGCATTTCACTCCCTCTCTTTCTCTGCTATACTGCTGAATCTCTTTAGATTATATCTTTCTTAGTGACTCTTTGTTTCCCTTTCCCACTTCAATCTCTGTCTTTTCCCCCCTCATTATTTTTCTCCTAGTTCTTTTCCTTCTGACATATTCATTCATTGGTTTATGCATTTATTCATTTCTTGAGCCCCAAAGTGCCAGCATTGTGCTACGAGCTGGGGCAGGGATTGGGAGGTCCCCTGAAAGGGGTTTGTGATATTCTAGTGGCCATGACCTACCCTTACTGTTAGTAGCTAACATCTGTTGAGTGCTTCCTATGTGGCAAGCATGGTGTTAAGCAGCTCCTTGAACATCTGGTTCTCACAGTAACCCTACAGAGAGATATAATTAAACTGATTTTACCAAAAAGTGAACAGTCATAGACGGGATAAGTAACTTGTATAAAGTTACCTAGCCAATAAGCGCTAGGACTAGGATTTTGGACATTCAACTCCAAATTTGGTGCTCCAGTGTTGCAAACAGGTGGAAACTGTTATCTCACAGCCAAAGAGCAAAGGTTCTCCTTACTTTCAATCAAATAAAATTTTCTTCTTCTACCAGCAATCCCCCATGACAGAGCTCTTAATTGGTGCCCACCCTCCGTTTGTACATCAGGAAGAAACAAAGAAAATAAAAAGGAATAGGCATCCTTGAATGGGCAATTGGATCTCTGGTCACAATAGGGATCGCTAGTGCTGACCATCTGGCACTTTTTTAAGCACACATGTGTGTGATGAGCTGGAGCTGGCTCAGACTATCTCTCAATTAATACATTTTTAGAAATTTTGTGAGACAATTATTAAACCATCGGTGGTTTGAGACAGCGATGGCAGGAATATTTACACTATGAAAATTGGCAAACACAACAAATTAGAGCTTTCTCCCTCTGCCACCAACCAAGCTGTTTATTAAACGTTTACCTTTACATTGCTGATTGTCCTTCACAACTCTATATATTGTTCTCTTCATTCTGATAGGCAGTTTATACAAAGAAATATAAATAACTTTCCCAAGGCGATATAGTTAGTAAGCACCAGAGCTGATGTTTGAACCCAAATCTGCTTACTGTAAAGACTGTGGACCAACCAAAGCCCACCAAATCCCTAGAGGGAGGATGAGGCCAAGGTTAGAGATACCTCTTTGCCATTGAGTTCTTTGCCAACAACTTTCCCCCTCAGTCTAGGGAGAAGTGTGCCTTTGTTTTAGCGGCACTGGAGGCAGAAATGTTGGTATGGTGGTAGAGGGAGGGATTCCACAGAGGGAAAAACCTCATTAATTCTGCTGAGACCCTAGGGTCCATAGCCCACAGATGATTAATTAGCCACTAATTATGGTAAAGGGGGCAGGCGAATATCTAGAGGAAATATGCCAACAATAGTCATCACTGTGGCAGGTAAAAGAGGTCACTCACTGTTTCTTTCTGTCATTAGGAAGAAAAAGGGCAATGTCTCTACCCAGCACCTCCAGTGAGCCCCAGACATCCTGATATTCCTCTCAATCCTATGATTCATCCATTCAGTACTCTAGTTTTTAAAGTTTTCAACTTCTTCCTTTTCTATTTAATTATTCTTTCTGAGATGGACCATACTGTAGTAACAGAGAATAATAAAACTATGGGGTTGGAGAGTACATAGGACATTTAGCCAATCTTCATATAATGTAACTGAATCATTATGCTTCTCTTCCATTAGAATGGGAGCCTATGGGGTCAGCTAATAAACGGCATGTACTAGGTCCATGGATCTACTCAGTAGTCATTTCTGTAATTGGAATGCACATGCTTGGCAGTTGGCAGAATCCTCACATAGTTCTTTAGTCTGTGGAGTAAGAGCTACAGATTCAAGTGGAAACCCTGAATCTACACCTCTTACCACAAAGACAATGAATCAAGAACAATATCACAATTCAAGGGAAATGGCTGATTGATCTAACCTTTAAAGGATTCAGAGGTTTGTCCCTATCATATTTCACATTTAATTCACCAGTCTGGTCACTACAAAAGTCAGATGTATCTTGAAAGATGACGAGACTAGTGCAAACTCAACCTAGAAATAGCTGTAATTGCAGCTGTTGTGCCTGATTAACATGCTTTCAGGTCCATGTTATATAGCTAGTAATCTGGTGAATGTGTTCTTTTCAAGTACTATCAGGAAGGAAAACCAAAGGCAGTTTGAATTTACACAGTATGGATGTAAGTGTACATGTATAGTTTTGCTTCAGTACCATGTTAAAACTCTCCCATCATAATAGGGTCCCATGGGACGTGAACAGTGATGTGCTGCAACTCCAGGCAAAAAAGCCTTGATTCACAACATTTGCTGATTTCTGTAGTGTAAATATTTGCACCATGGCCAATATTAAACTGTCAATGTGAGATTACTAAAAATGCAGAGTAGTAGAGAGATGTACAGTAACACACCATTACACAGAAGAATTTATAATCCAGAAGTTTTTTTTTTTTTTTTTGAATAAATAGTCTTTATTAGGCTCAGAACAGGAGTCCATGGGTCTTGAGGAGACCTGTGTGTATTTGTCAGTTTTCTTTCTTTCTTTCTTTCTTCTTTCTTTCTTTCTTTCTTTCTTTCTCTTTCTCTCTCTCTCTTTCTTTCTTTCTTTCTTTCTTTCTTTCTTTCTTTCTTTCTTTCTTTCTTCTTTCATGATTTCTCTCTTTCTTTTGCTTTCTTTTTTTTTGTTTTTGAGACAGAGTCTCGCTCTGTGCCCAGGTTGGAGGGCAGTGGCCAATCTCGGCTCACTGCAACCTCCGTCTCCACAGATCAAGCGATTCTCCTGCCTCAGCCTCCTGAGTAGCTGGGACTACGGGAGCCCACCATCACGCCTGGCTAATTTTTTGTATTTTCAGTAGGCATGGGGTTTAACCATGTTAGCCAGGATGATCTTGATCTCCTGACTTCGTGATCCGCCCAACTCGGCCTCCCAAAGTGCTGGGATTACAGGCATAAGCCACCATTCTGGCCTGTCAATTTTCTTTTCCATGTTCTTTTCTGCCTTTTTCTGTAGCCTCATGAGCTGTTTCTTCTTCTGGTAGTGGATCTTGGCCTTCACCTTCCTCTTCTCAATGGTGGCTGTCATCACTGCCTGGTACTTCCAGCCAACCTCATGAGCCGAGTACCCCAGGCAGACAAACTTTCTCATAGGCTTCAGGCGCACAACCTTGAGGGCAGCAGGAATCACCATGGCTTTTTGTTGTCACAGGGTGGTGCAGTACCATCAAACACCTTGAAGTGGTTCAGAGTGGCCTGGCCTCGCTGGGTCTCGTGGGGCAGCTGGCCTTGCACCATCCACCAGAAGATGTGGCTGGGGCTGGGAAGTGGTAGGGCCTCAAGAAGGACTGGTGTTCATCCACTTGTGGAGAAAGGCCAGGTACTTCACCTAGGGTAGAAATTGCAAGAACTGTTGACGCTCTCACAGTGCATGACCATATTCCAGCCTAGAGGGAGAGAAGGGGTTAGGAAGTGCTGAGGGTGCCATCTGAAGGCTCTACCTCTACTTATGACTGCACAGACAGTGATGGGCAGAGTGGAGTTCATGTTTAAAGTAAAAGAGAGCCTAATGGAAAATTAATTCTGAGCTAGGAGGTCTGCATTCCAGAAACGGGAGTGGCTGCAGGTCTCAGAGCAGTACATGGGCTGGTCTCATGGCCCAGACTCATATGAAAGATGGTGATTGTTGCTCATCACTGATCCAGAATATTTTTATTATACAGACAACATTATTTAGTATTTTTATTACAGGGACATAATATAAATAGCAAGAAGAGTATAGAAAATACGGTAAGATAGTTAAATACCTAGAAACTGAAGATTTTAGGAATGTGTTACCTATGTCTTAATATAATTTATTTTAAAACACTAGTTATATTTAACAATTGATTTACAAAATTTCGGAAAATTTAACATTTGGCTCCACGAGGCTGTATGAGCTAACTGCAGCACATCACTGAGGGCAGACCTTCTGGACATTCCACAAAACATCACATTGTTCCCCTCTATCAACAATATATTACTAATCAAACAGAATGAGCCATGAGGGCAAGCACATTGGCAGCACTGGCAAGACAAATGCACTCCAGGGAGTGGGAGATATATTCTGTGAAGATTCAGCATCCTTCATATCTTTGAAGTTTTTAGACTTCACGCTAGGACATCCCTCTAAAGTAAGAACACATTGTTGCATTTCACACTTAACACTACTAATGCAGAGTTGGAAAGAGATGCACAATAATACACCATTACACAGAAGAGTTTATAATACAGAGGTGGTTTTTGTTTGTTTGCTTGTTAGTCTTTATCAGGCTCAGGCCAGAGGTCCACGGGTCTTGAAGAAACCTGTGTGTATTTGCCAGTTTTCTTCTCCACGTTCTTTTCTGCCTGTTTCAGTAGCCTGACAAGCTATTTCTTCTTTCAGTAGAAACAGCTCTTGAAACCAGAATCTTGGCCTTTTCCTTTCCTCTTCTTCAGGATGGTGAATGCTTGGTTGTCTTAAGGTTCTAGGGGAAGCCTATTCCACACTCATGGGAATACCACATGGAACAGTTTACTAGTGACTGACTGAAGCCCAGAGCAGAAATGGGCCCTGCAGCTGTTCTAGGCTGTTGTACCGGCCATCTGGCACTGCTTTGGCTATATGTACTTAATAGACTCTGGGGCACTAAAGGTATCAGTGGTGGGAAAGATATAGTGTGGCATTTTGGGCAAGCCTCCAGAGGAGAATCACAACATAGACCTCTGGGGTTCTTGATCAAAGCTATGCTGTCTGCTGCGGGAAAATAAACCCACTAGGAAACAAGTCCTAGCCTGCTCTTGGGCTTTATTAGAGATAGAGCTCCTGATCTTGAGATATCAAATGGTCACAACACTAGAACTGTCCATTATGAGCTGTATCCTGTCAAATCAATCAAATGATGAGGTCTGGTGGTTGTAACATCATCAATTGCAAGACAGAAATAGTATATCCTGGATCAATCGTGGGCAAAACTGGAGGGCAAATGCAAGGTGCTGAAGTGGGGGACCCAGGTCCCCATGTCTTCCACAATGTGGACTTGGTACCTCCTCACTTGCTCATACCGGTGGCTCGTGGGAGTGTTCTAGTTATCTATTGCTGCATAACAAAATCTCCCCAAATTTAAAGGCTTAAATGAATGCAAAACTCATTGAATCTTACATGTTGTGGGCCAAGAATTTGGGAAGAGATTGGCTGGGTTTTCTTACATTCCATGTTGCATCAGCTGGGATCCCTTGGAAATATTCAGCTGGCAGATGGACTACTTTGGAGGGTCCAAGACAGCTTTACTCACATGCCTGGCAACTTGGTGGTTTTGCTGTAAGTTTGGGCTCATCTTGACTCTTTGGACTACTCTAAAGGGTCCGAGACAGCTTCACTCACATGCCTGGCACCTTGGTGGTTTTGGGTTAAGTTTGGGCTCGTCTTGATTCTTCTCTGTCTTCATGCTATTTCGGGACCTTTCTACATGGTCTGCCCAGCATGATAGTCAAAATTTTTACTTGGAAACTCAGGACTCCAAGAAGGAGGAACAGCCAATTATCTTATAGGCTAGCCCCAAAACTGGCATGGTGTCACTTCTGCCACACTATTTTTGTCCAAACAGTTATAGAACAGCACAGATTCAAGGGGAGGAAAAATAGATAGCCCACCTGATGGGTCGATTGTCAGAGAGTTTGTGGCAATCTTTAATCTGTCATGGGGGAGGGGTAATTTATAATTGGCTGATGGAGGAAAAATAAGATGAGCTTGGTTCATGGATATATCTACTCAACACATTGGTGTGAGCTGAAAATGGACGGCTGCTGCATTATAGCCATACTCGAGAATAATTCTGGAAGACAGTAGAAACTGTAAATCTTGGGTAGTTCACTTAATTATCTCTTTTGTGTGGGAAGAATAAGGGCCTAATGGAAGAATATTTGTGAATACATGGGCAGTGGTAAATGGCTTGGTTGGTTGCTCAAGGGCTTGGAAGGAGGAGATTTAGAAGATGAAGAACAATGAAATTTGAGGAAGAGGCATGCAGATGGATTTATGAAAATGGGAAATCTTTTTTATTTATGAGAATGGGAAAATTGTGAATATCTTTGTGTTGCATGCTAATGCCCATTAGAGAGCATTCACAATAGAAAAGGCTCTAAACGACCAAGTAAACAGTGACTACAGGCTAGTTCACACAAAGCAGCCTTCTTCACAGGCCACCCTAATGCTGGCACAATGGGCTTATGGAGGCAGGAGTGATGGTGGCCGGATGCAGGTCTGTATGTGTTCAACAGCATGACTTCCACTCTCCGACACTGATCTAATTCCTGCTGCTGCTGAATGTCCAACCTGCAAGAAACATGCAAATGCTGCCCTTGATATAGTATCATATTCTGGGCGTGAGTTTGCAGGTCCAGGATTCAAATCCAAGGCCATCTGATGCTGCACAATGGGAAAGGATCTGTGTATTTGGAGAAAACCCCAAACTCACCATTTTTTTCCTACTGTATTCTCAACATTCAACACTTCTAGTCACCAAAACATGTTGGTTTTTCTCCCACACTGAACAATAAATGTCTTCACTGGATACCAACTGGGTGTCCTGTACTTCAATTCAATTCTGACATTATTCACCTGGAGTTAGAGTCAGATCCCACAGGTTAAAGGATCGCATAAGACTGCTCCCCACTTCAGATGCCAATCACAAGTCCAAGCCTCTGGAACTTCTGACCTACTGGGAACCCTATTGGGGGTTCTGACAATCCCCTCCTTGGGTTTGATAATTTATTAGAGCACTTTACAGAGTAAGTGAAGTTTCTTTACTTCAATTTATCTGTTTATTATAAAGAATATTCCAAAGGATACAGATGAACAGCCAAATAGAAGAGATACACAGGACAAGGTGTGTGGGAAGGGGCAGAGAGCTTCTGGGGCATGCTGCCCTCTCAGCACTTCTGTGTGTGCACCAACCTGGAATTTCTCTGAGCTCCATAGTTCAGGGATTTTTGTGGAGGCTTCATCGAATAGGCATAACTGATTATGAACTCAGTGTGTAGTCCCTCTTGATTTTCTGGAAGATGAGGGTGGAGCTGAAAGTTTAAAACTCCTAATCGTGGCTTGGTACTTCCAATAAAAGTCCCCCTTCAGGAGTCCACCAAGGGTCACTTCATTAGAACAAAAGATGCTCCTATTACCCAGGAAACTTCAAGGGGATTAGAGCTCAATGTTAGGAACTGACATATTTGGTCAAATGTTAGGACAAATACTCTCCTAGCACCCCTATTGCTCAGGAAATTACAAGGGCCTTAGGAACTGTGTGCCAGGAACTGGGATCAGAGGCCAAATATATATTTCTTAGCATATCATAATACCACAGCCTCTTGGCCACCACATTATTCTGCAGCCCATGACTGCATTAGCTTTTCAGATTATATTCAAATGCTTTTCACATGTGACCGTAGACTCAAGTACCAAACTCAGTGATGATCTCAGAATTACATGACATTTTGCTATGATTCTCGCCCAAGTTTAGCTTTTTGAAAATCTTTTGGTTTTATGTTATATTATGGGATATATTAGCAATCCCTGATAGTTTTGTGGCATATAAAATATTTATGGATGAAGCAGCTTTGAGAGTAGATAATGGGTAGAGTGTTTATAACTAACCCATTACTATAGCTATTTTGCCTGGCGGTTAATGAAGAGCACTGGAACGGATTCCTATTGGGGCATAAACTTGTAGCCACTTCTGTCTTGATACTATTAGCTGCTTAAAATTTACACAGATGCACACATATACACACAATTTATTTTGAATATGTAAAGCATGCACAGCTCTAACATTTAAAAGACAGGCAAAAATATAAAGTGAGAAGCAGATTTATCTTCTATGTCTGTTCTTCCTCAAGCTACTTATTTCCTCTTCCCAGAGTTAACACTTGTGACCAGTTTGCTATGTATTATTCTAGTGATATTGTATGCATATTTTATTGATGTAGGTTCGATCAGGAAACAGAAACCACACAGTGATTCAAACAGGAAAAGTTTAGTATAAAGCATCATTAATTTATAATAAACAACTATAAGATGTAAAGATAATTCTATAGGTTCCTCTTGGGCTGAGGAACAGTACAAAGGAAGGATGAAGATAGGCCTGTTCTTCTAGACTGAGATTCAAACTTCACTGGCGAACAGCTGGTTGGAGCCTACTGGCTAGCAGGGAAATCAGTGGCTTGCTTAGTCTAGAGCTAATCCACAACTGCTGAGCAAGCAGGAAGCACTTCTTTGGGACACAGAAAAGCTGCAACTTGTGAGAGGTTTGGGGGCATGCCGAGGGAGTATGGACGTCACTAAAGGTGGGATAATTTTCAGGCAAGTGTGTGAATGGGAAGAGCTGTAGAAGCCAAACTTTTGCTCGGGAGGTGATCAGATCAGAGGGTGTTGAAGTGTCAGTGTGAGTGGGAGATCAGGAGGGTGGAGTGTCCCTGTTGGGAGGGTTATGGGAAGGTGATGGCCAGGTTGGGTTTGGGCTATGCGATTACCAAGACACCATGTATGCCAGATGTATGTCTGGGAAGAGGACCACTGCAACTGGATTGACAATGTAAACACTGGACCAAGCAGGAGAAGCCCCTTTCTCTGGCCATGTTTCTCTAGAGCTGTCTACTGAGAAAGCTTAGACTTACTCATTGCAAAGGAGA